GATCAAAGAAATCAACAATAACACCAATTTGCCGCCGCGGCTAACCGGAGAATGAGCGGGGCAGGGCACCGCCACCTTCTCTGGCACCCACCCGCCCTCACAGACGTCACCAGGAACCTGAAATAAATAATAAGAAAAATGAAAATAAATTGAGATTTAAATGTAAAGGAATAAATAAATATAAATGGAAATAAAGATAACGAGGTGCAAATGAAGACATGAAAGTATAGATTAAGAGAAGTAGAGATACAGAAAGCTGGAGGTGAAAATGTACAGAAAAGTGGATATAAGGAAAAATAAAGTTTCAAATATGAAGGAATACAAGAAAGGAAAGATAAGGATAAATATTGATTAAACGAAACAGTTATGATGATAGAAGTGACGAAATATACAGATCGAGCGACATAAAGAGGAAAGATAAATATGCACAGGGGGGGAGATACGGATGAAGACAACGACTACTGTTTCTGTTGGTGCAGTTGTTTCTGTTTCCGTTGCTTTTGTTGCTGCTGTTTGGGCGTACTTTTCTGTATGCTGCGGTGTAGAAGAATGCTGAGGAGGTGCATGCAGCGGCTGCAGCTGCATCTTCAGCATCAGCTAGCTGGTTAAGCCCTGCTGCAGTCGAAGCAGCAGCAGCGGCGACGTCCGTCGGCAGACAGTGAACAGAGCCAACGGCCCTCTCGAAGCCGTACTCGCATTCGTAGTCTTGCATTGTGCACGGGCACACCTGCGCATACACCCCAGTACATGTAAACACACACAGCTGTAAATACACCACAATATATGCAAATTGAAACAACCGTGAATACACCTCAGTAACCGTATACACCCCGATAAGTGTAAACACAGAGAACTGTGCATACACCTCAATCAGCACAACTACAAGCAAAGCTCAAACAGAAGGACAGAACAATGCAGACGACGAGCGGTGATTGAATCGATGCAGCGAAGAAAGGCGATGGATGTACACCGCAATGAACGCGATATTAAACAAACAACACATAAACAGAAAAAATAAAACGCTAAAAGAAGGGCAGCGGAGTGGAGAGGCTGAATAACCAAATGGAAATAAAATAAAATAAATCAAATTGACGAAACTAAAGACAACAAAGCCAACTTAAACAACGGAGCAGAACCAAACAAAGCCAAAAAAACAAATTACGCAACCAAAAGAGATAAAAGAAGCAAAATTAAACAACGAAAAGAAACAAAATATAAAAACAGACAACGAAAAGAAGTAAAAAATAAAACTAAACAACAAAAAGAAACAAAAAAAGAATAAACTTTACCTCAACACTGCGGGGTCGCTGAAAGTCTCTGCCATTGAAACATTCGCTCGTTTGTTTCCGCCGGGTGTACGTTATGTGCTTCCCTAATATACACTTCTCCCCGCTGCGTCCGTCTGCAACAAATAAATAAATAAATAAATAAAATAAAATAAAATAAAATAAAATAAAATAAAATAAAATAAAATAAAATAAAATAAAATTAAATTGAGTGAACTAATTAATGTTCTCTTGGTTAATGGAGTGACTGATTGCCTGAAAGAAGTAAATACAACAGCCAGCAAGCAAACAGAGGGAGACACAGAGCAGAGAAGAACAAACAAAAAAATAAACAAAAAAACAGAGAAAGAAGAAAAGAATAAACCTGAGGTGCTCAGGAACAACAAAAAAGTAAATAAAAAAGAGAAAAAGAAGAAAAAAATTAACCTGAAGGGCTCCATGTTTCGTAGTCGCTGGAGACAGAGTCGGCGGCCCATATGCCTTTGCATCTTTGTTGGTTTAGTGCGGCGAAATCGAGGTGAAACAACACGCCTAGAGAGAAAAAAGAAACAAATTAAAATAAATATATTACTTATACTAGTTATATCCATTAAATAAATTAATAATTAACAAAAAAAGCAAAGAAAACACCAAACCGAGAAAGAGGAGAGCGCGAAACAAACAAAGACGACGAAGCAGCGGAGAAGAGA